AGTAGTAATCATTGACATGTGTTAAAATAATTGAAGCGTTAGAAGCAGATGGATGGCTTTACCCCTTAGAAGAGACAGGGGAGAAATGGAAGTAGGAGACTGGCTAAGACATTTTGGCTTCATCTGTACTCTTCTGTTTCTTTCTGAAAAGGGAAATATATTCAAAATAGTTTTGTTAACAACAAGTTGATAATTTTTGACAGGGAAGAAGATAGGTGTTAATTACACTTTTCTTCATAATAGTTCAAGATTGAACTTAGTCTCTTAAGAGGCAATACTGGGGGTGGCTGGCTGGAGAGATGGCTCAGTGGATAGGTGTGTTTGCTGCTCTTGTAGGAAACCCATTTTGGGTCCCCAAACCCACACCAGGCAGCTCACAACTTCCTGTCACTCCAGTTCCCGGGAATCTGATGCCCTCTTCTGGCTGGCAAGGGCACTGCACGCACATGCATATACTAACACCCAGTCATATACACTTATGCAGGAATAAAAATGAATCTTCAGTGATACCTGTGGAGTCTAACATCTGTTAGAAATGTGCAACCAATAAGGAGTTAGAGTGCATTTACTGATTTCTCCAATCATCTTTTCAAAAATCAATTTGGATTTTGTTTCCTATGTAGAAAGCCTCATTTTAAGGTTGTAATGAGGATTTCCCAGGGACTTCCAGGATGGCTGCATCAGCTCAGGAGAGAGGTAGAGACCATTGTAGATACATAGGGATAGTTGAGTAGGCATTCATGGGGGTTTGTGGAGGGCCTTGTGAAGTGTAACAGCTGTCCCTTCTCTGTACCCACTTCTCTCTCAGGACCTCCATGGAACAGATGTCATAACAGTTTAGACAGAGCAGATGGGGCAGCCTTTGACTCTGGGATCATATGGGTCCTAATAAGGCTTTTTGACTCAGTCTCCTTGGTGTTGGGGGATGCTGTAAAGATGGGAAGCTTTTGCATCTATTAATGACCTGGTGACTTCTATGTTTGTTCCTGTTTTGTCCTCTCTCTCTCTCTCTCTCTCTCTCTCTCTCTCTCTCTCTCTCTCTCTCTCGTGTGGGAGTGTAGAGGTGTGTGTGTGTGTGTGTGTGTGTGTGTGTGTGTGTGTGTGTGTGTGTGTGTGTATGTAGGATAGAGGTCAATGTTGAATTTCTTCCCAAATTGTCTTTCACCTTATTTATTGAGACAGAGTCTCCTTGAACCTGGACTTTAGAGATTTGGCTAGACCAGCTGACCAGGAAGCTCCAGGGATCTGACATCTCTACTCCAATCCCCTCAATGTTGGGATTACAGATGCACACCATGGCACCTGATTTATTCTTTTAAGGTAGGTAGGTGCTGAGGATCCGAACTCCAGTCTTCACGTTTGAGTAGCAAGCACTTTACCAACTGAATCATCACTCCATCTCCCTTTTATTTTTTTATGACTTGTTTTGGAGAAAGGATTTCATTTTGTAGCTTAGACTAACCTAGAACTCATTATGTAGCCCCTGTTGGTCTTGAACTTGTGATCCTCCTGCCTCTGCCTCCCAGGTGCTGAAATTAAAAATGTGAGCTACTATGTCTGGCTTAACTTCCATGTTAAAATTTTTAAAAATTTCATTTTCTGTGTGTGTGTGTGTGTGTGAATGTTTTTGCTGGTATGTATGTCTGTGTACCACTTTCGTGCTGTGCCATGAAGACCAGAAGAGAGACTGAGTCCCCTGAATCTAGAGCTACAAATGGGTGAGCCTCCCTGTGGGTGCTGGGACCCACCATGGGTCCTCTGGAAGAGTAGCAGCAGTGCTGTGGACTGCTGAGCCATCACCCCAGCCCCTCAAATTCCATGTATTTAAGTGCTATCATTGTATAGCTCTGACCTTAGGATTTAGAGAAGAAACTTTTTCATGAAAATCAAATCACTTAAGGTCTTTGATAGAAGTTAAGTATATTTAAAAAACAATTTTTTTTCTATTGAACTATTTTGTTATTTGATACCATTCTTTTTTCCCCTCAAAGAGAATGAATTATGAAATCTCTAGGACCAGAGCATGAAACAGAATGTTTCCAGGGTTGCTCATTTCTAGCTGCAGCTCCATCAGACCAGGCTAGATTAGAATGTGACAGTAGGGGTTCGGAGTCTCTTGGAATGAAGATTTCTAACCACTTTAAGTATACAGAAGAGAAGAGCAGTTGGCTTCTATTGGAATGGAAAGTAGGAAATACAGATGTCAAACCGTTTGGTGAAATGATGGATGATAGAGGGATAATAATAGGGACCTGACTCAAAAGTTATGAAAAACACAGGTGCACGGGGTGTGTCTCAGAGCATGAAGGATTCAGAGCGAACATCCCGGGAATAAATGCGGGAGGGAAATGACTGCCAAACAGGAGCGCCGACACTCCTGCAGACTTCAGGTACTTCAGATGAGCCAGGCAGTTGTCAAGGGCTGTACTAATTGTCACTCACCCCATCTCTTTAACAGTCTCAGGATGTGGGCACATTTATGATCCAAATTGAAGAGCAACGTCTTTAGCACTAAGCCCGAGGTCACACGCTAGCAAGTGGTTGAGCCAGGACTTGAGCCCGAGTGGTTCAAGCCTGGAATATCTGATTGTAGTTACCAATTTACATTCTTTTTCTCCTTCGCTTTATGCACATGCTGTGCTAACTTCATCCTTAAGGGGGAAATTAGGTCTGCTTTAAATTCCTGGATAGAAAGCTTGCCTTTAGAAATTTCCATGGGAATATTTTTGGGGAGAATTTTAGGATGCCATTTACATCTTATAATCCCACCAGGAAGACATGGTCTTCCCATATATTGTATAATAAATTTGATTTTGTGAAGGTTCAAGGATTTGGCCGTGAATCAATTCATGCCAGTGTCTAGGTTCCTAACCTAGTGTACTACTGAGTGTTAGAAGATTTCTATGGCAGTAAGAAGTGTGGGGGAGAGGAGGTTATTTGTGCGTGAAGCCCTATTTCCCACAAGTGACTCTAAACTCTTCTAGTCTTAATAGTGAAGAATTTCATGGACAGATTCCACACATATCCTGAGTCAGATGTCAGTTCTACCTGAGGGGCCCTATAGCTGGGGTAGCTCTGCCCTCAAGCCCCAGGCTATGGTCTTTGGTTCTCTGTGGCTCCAGCAGATCCAACAGTCTAGAAAAATGTGTTTTTCTGGAAAGGAGATTACTCTTACAATTTAACAAGGGTGAAATTGATGCTCACACAATCAGGTGGAGTTGCCTTTGAGTTGCAGCTTTTTCTGTAAAAGTCTCTAATTCTGAGATGAGAGGTCCTGCAGAATTTTATCTTTAACTTTCTAAAGATGCCCAATCTCTTACCTATCTTGTTGACTCTTGCATTGTAAGACCGGCAATAAAGCACAGGCAGAGCCCCTCTCAGTTCTGCTCTGTGACCACAGGGTTAAAGCATGATCCCTAATAGGCCTTTTGGTTCTGGGATGAGTCTTCCTTGTGGAATCGGGTCAGATGCAGATGGCCCATCTGTTCTCTTAAGAAGAAATGCACAGGTGTGTAAGGAGCAGGCTCAGCTCGGTGCTCTGACTTTGGGCTCCAGTTACTGATTATCTCAATCATACAGTATGACCTTGAACACTTTGAGTCCTCTGAACACCTCCCTCTGGTCATCTATGAAATGAGGTTAATGGTGATGACCTGTCAGCGGTGGTGGTGACAAATCATTGAGGCGATACAGGCAGAGTGCTCAGCAGAGGGCCAAGCTCGTGGAAAGTGCTCAGTAAATCCTGTCCCTTCTTGGTTGTATTATGGATTCTGGGGACTCAGCAGAGCCCTGTTACTGCAAGAAAGCACAAGAAGAACATTACTAGGTTGACCAATTGTTTTCATTTGTCTTAGTTACTTTTCAATTCCTGTGACAAAACACCATGACCAAGGCAACTTATAAAGTAAAGTATTTAATTTGGGGCTCGTGGTTTTGATGGTGAGTCCATGGCCATTATGGAAGAGAGCATGCCAGCAGGCAAGCAGTCATGAAGCTGTAGTAGTAGCTGAGAGCTTATACGTTATCCACAAGTTGAAGGTAGAGAAAGCTATCCAGAAATGGCATGGACTTTTAAAACCTTAAAGCCCACCCTCAGTGACACATCTCCTCCAACAAGGCCACACCCCCTCCTCCTTGCCAAACAGTCTCACTAACTGAGGACCGAGCATTCAAATATATGAGCCTATGGGAGCCATGCTTGTTCAAACCATTACACCATTTGTCTAGGATAGAGGTATTTCCCAAGATATGGTACCTTAATTGTCTGTAAAAAAAATTAGAAATTTTTTGGGTATATAGGGTGAGCCAGTTACTCTAAGGCCTATTTCAAGACCCCAAACTATGTTTAGAGTGACCACCCTGCACATGCTATGTAATATCTGAAAATTAAATATGCAAGTCGTATTTCTATGAGTGAGAAAAAGATTATCAAACATTTGGCCTGCATTTAGAATAGCTTTCTGTTCATTTCTGAAAAATTTGCTACTAAAGGAAAACAAATTTTAATATCAGTGTCTGAAGAGACTATCAAAGGGATGATTCATGGGAGTAGGGTTGAGATTATGAGATCCTGCAAGGGATGCTGAGGCACTGGGTGCCTGGAGCACTGGGGCCCCATCAGCAGCGTTAATCTGTAGTGGCCCGGGTAGGAGTTGCCCTAGTGGAGTCTTTTTCCTACTGCCCTGAGATTCAGAAGGCTGCACAAGCGACTGGCTCCTTGGCCCCCTAGTTTTTGAGCTCTTCAGATGGGGAGTGCTGATTGGAGCTTGTCTGGCAAGAGGAGAAGACTATGTTCTTTGTCCTGCTCCCCTCGTGCCTTACTGTGTTTTTCTTGGCATGGTGGTGTTCTTCAGTGGAAGTCTTTCTCAATGTGTAGTCTCTAGTTAGCAGCATCAGCTTCCTGTGGGGGACTTCCCAGACATTCACATTTTTGAGATTCATCCCAGAATTACTGAATTAAAACCCACAGCAACTTGTGTTAAAATGCCTCCCCCCACCAGGTGACTTTGATGGATATGGAAAACTGAAAGCTGCTGGCCTAGAAAGCAAAGATACATCATCGACCTTGGGGACCTGTGGCCATTCAGGTACTTCTTGGTATGTAGGTGTGTCGTACTCCCAAGTCAACTGGTACAGGGAAGCTTTGTTGTCTTCAGTTGTAGCACTTTGAAAACAATTGGCTTAATTATCTTGGTGTATGATTTCTACTAGAATTCATGCACCAAAGGGTTGGGCTTTTGTCCTATTCACTGCTGATTTCCTGTCGTCCACAATTCCTACACATAGTGTGAGCTTACTGTGAGTGAATCAGTCATGATTTCAGACTCGAGTTGAAGATCATGTATTTTGTCTTTTATAGTAATAGTTGATTGATCTTACAGCTACCAATCAAACATCCTCAGCAACATTTCCACTTTCTGAACGAAAATAATAGTTGATGATTTATAGAAAGAATACCTGAAGTGCCCCAATGCATACCAGAAACCATGGCACAATGTCTGTGTCACCCAGTGCCCCACTTAACCTTCATGGAATCCCTTTGAAGCTGCACCACCCCAAAGCAGGGTACCTAATATTCTTGAGGTTATGAGGACTACTCCCAGATGACTGTTCACTGGCAGAACCTGGGCTTCAGTCTAGCTTGTAGCCGCTTGCGGGGCAGTGTCCTTTTCATTTCAACATTGTGCAAGATTCAAAAGAGCCTTCTGGATTGTAAAGAACAAGTGCATCGTAAAAGAGTGATTTGACCTCAAATACATTTTATCTGAGGTCACCCAGCATGTTGGAAAGGAAATAGACAACAGAGTCTGAGAGAGCAGAACTCAGTCTGTATGTTCTCCGGCAAGTTATTGTACCTTCCTGAGCCTTGGTTGACCGTGTGTCTGCCAGTGATTCTACCAGCTGGCAGGAGTTTTGTAAGCATATAAAATAGTTTCATGGGGTTGGTTATAATATCTATTTAATATACAAATTATATGATAAATCTCAATGTCATGCGTAGACCTGAGTTCGTTCTTCGTTAGGAAAATTTGTTAGACCTCACAATCTCTGACATTTTAATCCCCATTTGGACTGGAATTCTTATCATCCTTCTTTCTTTCTGTGTGTCCTCGGGGAAAATAATTTGTCCTTTTTCTGAGTACCTAGTTTCATCATCAGAAAATGAGGATAATTGTGCTTCTCTCATTGGATGATTGTGAGCATAGTGTAAAGATATAAAATAGTGGATAGACAGTGTAGAAATTATGATCATGCTAAGTGTGAGTTTCCTCTGCCTGTCAGATATGGCTATGTCTCACTGATGTGTATTGACGCACAGATATGCACCTGAACTGGTAGGTACCAGGCACGGTCTTATTTGGGAATGGCAAGTGGTAACCAGATACACCTTCAAAATCCTTTCTTATTTTCTCCAGAGTCCTGCTGTTTAGGAGGCTTGCCTTCTCTTGCACCACACAGAGCTGAGAAAGTGGCCAAAGTGATGTTGAGCACACACAGAGACCTCTTGTCTTTTCTGCCCCAGACTCTCCTCCAGTGGCTAAAGTTTTATAAGAACTTTTAATAAGTTTGTATCTGATACACTGAGCTTAGAGGGTTTAAAAGGAAGGATGACCTGCTGATCCAGGGAAACAGGCTTGCCAGGGAGGTAAATAACAGGAGCGACAGCCCGATTGTTAGAGAAGAGTTAGGAAAACAAAAAGACACAGTAGTGAAGTTCCAATAAACTCAGTAGCCAGAGCTTCTGGGTCTGTGGGCAGGGATGGCTGTGTTCCTCTAAGACCCCACCTATTGCTGTGCTGAGATCCTGGCAGTCACGACCATAGAGTCAGGGGAAGAAAACAGGTGTGAGCTTGTAATACACTGACTCATTTTTTCTAACCTTGACTTATAAGAAGTGACTAAATTGTTCTGTCAAGTTCCCATGATTCTCTTTTATAATGCTCCACTTTCAGGCGCATCCTTCTGGCAGATCCTTGCTCTTCTCAATGGTTGTTGAGTCTTCAGTGACAGAATCAACCCAAGGCCCTATGGGAGCTGAGCGTTGGGAAGACTCTGAATCTGCTGTTTAGATCCTGATCCTGGGGTGCACACTGAGGCCCCCTTATGTCATGAAAGAGAGCGGGGAAGTATGTGGATTGTTTTTAAAGGCTTTTCTTACACAGATTGTCTGGTGTTTGGCATGATGTCTTCAGACTCAAGACCTTGGATCCAAGGGTTTGGAAGAGCAAGTGATTTAAAGGGTTGAACTGTAGCTTTCTGGATAGTTCTGTTGTAGAGTCAAGCTGTCATAGGAGCAGCTTGAATGGAGGCACAGCAGATGAGTGAGTAGCAGTAGGAGAAGATGCACAAAGGAGTGTAAGTTGGAGGGAGAGAGCAGGGAATCTGGGTGGCGTCTGGCACACAGTCAAGGGACTGGGCACATGCTCATTGGGCTTGGCTGTATTGGTTTCCTTGGACAACAGCACTTCTTCTCTTCTTCTTCTTCTTCTTCTTCTTCTTCTTCTTCTTCTTCTTCTTCTTCTCCTTCTTCTTCTTCTTCTTCTTCTTCTTCTTCTTCTTCTTCTTCTTCTTCTTCTTCTTCTTCTTCTTCTTCTTCTTCTGACTTTTTGAAAAATTTCCTTGAACTAACTTATAAGGGGAGTGTAGCTGGAGATTTCTCCAGTCCCGCCGGGGCCCATAGCCACTCAGACCCAAGTAAACACACAGAGACTTATACTACTTATAAACTGTATGGCCATGGCAAGCTTCTTGCTATCTAGTTCTTATATCTTAAATTAACCTATAAATCTATACCTTGCCACGTGGCTCGTGACTTACCAGTACTTTACATTTTACTTCTCATGGCAGCAGTGGTGGCTGGCAGTGTCTCCTGACCCAGCCTTTGTGTTCCCAGAATTCTCTTTTCTGCTTATCCCGCCTATACTATACTTCCTGCTTGGCTGCTGGCCAATCAGCATTTTATTTATCAATCAATCAGAGCAACACATTCACAGCATCCCCAGCAGGGGAAGAAGTTTACAGCCTAGGGTTTCAGTTCAAAATAACATTGATTTTCCATGGGAGATGCATATGAGCAATTCCTGATGTTTGGATAGCAAACAATGAAGTAGTAACCACTAGAGGACACTTAGTGTCTCTTGATGTCACTGTGATTCAAATGGTCTGGGGAAGCCTTGGGGTGTGGAACTACTTAACTGCACCCTGGTTGTGGTGCAAACCAGGTCAGGCTCTGCCATGACCTCTGCCTCTCAACTTAGAGATGTCTGTGAAACAGTTTGACATTTCTCTTTGTTATTTGCATCAAAGGGAAAGACTTGGCAGCAGCTGATGCTTTTAGCAAGAAAGGGTCGCAGATTGGTTTAATGTAGAGATTAGTCTCCAATATATTTCAAATGTGCAAAAAATTTCTTTTTTTATTGAGAATTTTATACATATACATAATGTGTTTTAATCAAATCCACTCCCCATATCCTCTCCTTTAATTTTCTCTCATCTTCCAAACTACCTTTCCCTCCAAGCTTCATGGTCTGTCTGTCTGACTGTCTGTCTGACTGTCTGTCTGTCTGTCTCTCTCTCTTTCTCTGTCACTAACCCAGTGAACCCACCCAGTGCTGCCTGTATGGTGTAGGTGGTATGGGTGTAGGATCATCTGCTGGAGCGTGAGTAGCCTTCCAGCAGGTATATTCCCTCCTCTCCCAGCAGTCCTCAGTTTCCAGTAGCTTCTCAGCTAGGGGAGGGATATCATGAGCTCCTACCCTGTCTATGCTGGGATTTTGGCTGGCTTGACCTTGTACAGGTCTTGTGCTTGCAATCGTAGCTGCTGTGAGTTGATATGTGCAACAATCCCATCATGCACAGCAAATAATATTTCTTTCTTTCTTTTGTAAGGTCTCATGTAGCCCAGACTTACCTTGAACTTTCTATATACCCAAGAACGACCTTGAACTCCTGGAGCAACTGCCTGTATTCCTGAGTGCTGAGATTATAGCTTTGAGCTGCCACAACTGGTTTATGTGGTGCTAGGGATTGAAGGCTTTATGAATACTAGATAAGGACCTTATCAGCTGAGCTTCATTCCCAGCCTTCTAAATGTGTACACTATTATGGCGGTGCAGTAAGAGGTGTGTAGAAAGTTGACATCATGACTTCTAGATTGGATGACTTGAAAAATCCAAATTGAAATGACGGTTTCAACTCTGTTTAACTGTCCCTGCATAACAAAGTCCACCAAATTAGCCACTTAATATACATTTATCATCTCCCAATTCTGTGAGTCAGTGATATGAGAATAACTTACCTGGGTCCTTTGCTTTTGGGTATCACAAGGCTTCCTTCAAGGTGTCAAACTGGGCTATGAACTCATCTAAGGTACTGGGGAAATAATTGGTTTTGTGTTCTGGGAGTTGATGGCCATATTAATTTCTTTTATAGGTTTTTGGATTGAGAGACTTGGATCCTTGGGGCTGTTAGCTAGAAGCCATCTTCAGTTTCTTGCTATAAGGATCTTGGCAGCATAGTATCTGTCTGGCTTTATACTCCCACCCCAAAGTAACAGAAAAGATACCCCATTACCGTGTCTACTTGTTAGAAACTAGCTCTTAGTCCATCCCATACTGAAGGTAAGGATATTAGACATATTATAAATGCTCTGGGGTAATCATTGGAGGTCTTCTTGGAGCCTTCCTTCCATAGACTCACATCTCAAAATCTCCTTTAGCATACTTTAGACCCTTGCTACAAAAGGTTTTGCTTCTTTAGGTACAAGAAAGGTTGAAATTTAGCATACTTTAGACCCTTGCTACAAAAGGTTTTGCTTCTTTAGGTACAAGTAAGGTTGAAATTTAACTAGAAGACTGAAAGAGGGGAGTGGAATATCCTGATAAACTTACTGAAGTTACTTAGGTATCTTATGAAGGCTTTGAAATATGAGACTTCCTCTTGGCATTGCTATAACCCAGAAGTAGTCGGTATTTCTTAGAACAAAAAAAAAAAAAATCGAGAGTCAGAAAGAAGCTTGAATCTGCTCCACTCTCACAAGGGTTCAAAACTGTTGGATTTTAAAGATGTCAACAGTCATTGAGAGTAA